TCTGGGCAGAGTACTAAGTTTCTTCCGAGCCATGAAGCTGTTCCTTCTTACCCTCTCCGTGGCCTTAGCCGTGGCCGCCGCCTCGTCAGGCTTTAACCGATCCAGCCTCCTGCCCCATTTCCTACTAAGCTTTTGCTAAAGCCTTTGTATTTTTCCAATATTACATTTACAATTATCAAATACAACTGTGCATCACCTTTTAAAATGTGGTAATAAAGAATATCTCACTTTAAACTCTGGAAGTTTGGTCTTAACTGAGGTCTATTTTATAAAATGCATATATATATATATATTAATATAAAAACTGCTGAAAATAAAAGGCACAAGGATTAAGTGCCTGTAGAAGGTGTCCGGAACAAAGCGACCATTCAAAGTTGCCTCCTTACCCGGCGCCCCAAGAAAAAGATCACTAACAAGATGCCCCCAACCAGGTGCCCCTTCCAAAGTACTCCGTACACGGTGCCCCTAATAGGAGTCCCGTACAACAACTGTATAAGTGTACTTAAATGTATATATTCTTAGCACCCATATATTTGTTGCCTAGAAAAGATTTCATTCACACGCCATAAAGTACAATTCAGGTGGTCCTCAGATTGAAGTACTTTTCTAATTAAATAAATTAGGTAAAATATAAGTAGTTGGCAATAAGGAGTGTGATAATTGTAGACCAGTAAGATAACAATACGAGGTCTAAGATAACAGAGCAAGCAAAAACCCTGACGTAAAACTGACGAATTTACTCAAACATGCAATCAAAATAAGGAAAATATAAGGCTTGTTTTGGTGTGGCTGAGATCTTGGCTAGCGAAAGTCTACTATATTATTTTAGTGTTGTGACAATGTGTCACAAATTTATAGATCAGCGTGTAATCTTATCTATACTTGCTTCATAAGGAGTAAAATAGATCAATTGATTTACGAGCCATTGTGGGTCCCAGTATATTTTGCACTTCCTACTTCAGATGCTAATTCCATAACAAAAGATTAGAAATGGAAACTCCGAGTTCAAGTGCAAGGCATGAATGGATTTCGTACGTATGGGTGAGATACGATTTCATTGTTGATTGGTAGTGAGAATTGGCATCGTTATCAAAAACCATTGTCTCACAAATCGTATAAAAGCAGGCTGCCGCGGCCAGAAGAATAAGTTTCTTCATAGCCATGAAACTGTTCCTGCTAACTCTCTCCGCGGCTTTGGCCTTGGTGGCCGCCTCCCCGACCGGTCTGAACCGCACCAGCCTCCTGTCCCAGGGACCCGAGGGCCGCATCGTCAACGGCTACCCAGCTCCCGAGGGCAAGGCTCCCTACATTGTGGGCTTGTTCATCCTCACCGATGGAAGCAACAGTGCCGCTGTTGGAGCTGGTACCATCATTGCCAACAACTGGATCCTGACCGCCGCTCACTGCCTGACCACCGACTACGTGGAGATCCACTACGGATCCAACTGGGGCTGGAACGGTGCTTACAGGCAGACCGTCCGCCGTGACAACTTCATCAGCCATCCCGACTGGCCCGCTCAGGGCGGCCGAGACATCGGTCTGATCCGCACTCCCCATGTCGACTTCAACGGTCTGATCAACAAGATCCCTCTGCCCAGCATGAACGAGCAGAACGAACGCTACCAGGACACTTGGTGCGTCGCTTGCGGATGGGGCGGTATGGACAACGGAAACCTGGCTGACTGGCTGCAGTGCATCGATGTCCAGATCATCAGCAACAGCGAGTGCGAGCGCTCCTATGGCTCGGTCGCCGGTACCGACATGTGCACCCGTCAGGCCGATGGAAAGTCCGTGTGCGGAGGTGACTCCGGTGGCCCCCTGGTCACACACGACAATGCTCGTCTCGTCGGTGTGATCACCTTTGCTTCCGGCAGCTGCCACGACGGACCCTCCGGCTACACCCGCGTCTCGGACTACTTGGGATGGATCCGCGACCACACTGGCATCTCCTACTAAATGGCTTAGGAACAGTAATGGCAATGTGAAGGATTCTTCAGCAAAGTCTTTGCTCTTCTAAATAAATTCATTCGAAAACTGCAAAAGTCTTGACTCCCAATTGAACGAAATTCTTTTCCTAGCAATGTACCTTTCAATTTATAAAACACAGAAGCACTCACCTGTGGAAGCCACTGATGGGCAGACTAACATCGGGTAGAAATTCAGTGAGCGGTGCAAAGTATCCTCCATATTCAGGCATTGGCAGTGGATGCGGATGGGCGTTTGGCGGAGCATCCGACGCTCCGCGCAGCTCCACGTTTTCCTCCTGCCGCAGTTCCGGATCGTTGATCAGTATATCCTCCGGTCGAGGTAGTATGGAAGGTCCAGATGCTGCTCGAATCTTATCGGCGCCTCGAGGTGGACGATTGCCACTTGATCCGGGAGTAACTGCAGCGGCGGCAGCAGCTGCAGCTGCTTGGGTATATGCCCTAATGCCGCTGTCCGATTTGCAGGTGCTGCGGAAAATAAATATTTATATATAACTACCATATGAAATGGAAATTAATCATATTGGCTTACCCTATTTTGATGGGATCCTCTCCGCTGTGCCGTTTCGTGTGAATTGTGCCCTTCTCCACAGCCAGGTCCTGGATCCTGGAGTCATTAATGCCACCTGCAGCTTGGCCTGCCACAAAATAACCAATTAAATTGAATAAAAATCTCAAATTATCTTTTAAGATTCTGTAGTGGCCAATTGTTGGACGTACCATCAGCACTGTGACTGGATGCCTTCCGCATGCTGGTCAATCGGTAGAAAGGTGGCGTCTCCGTGCGCTCAATCAGACAGTTGAGCGTCTCCACAGTCTGCAGCTCCGCCATGAGCTCATCCAGCAACCGATCCGGACAGCTACGCACCAGATAGAGTGCCACTCGCTTGGCCTGATTAAATGCGTGGAAAACATTAGAACTATGTACTTCTGGTTAGAGTTGAAGTCCGGAACTTACATAGGGCAGCAGTTCAGTGGGTGCCATGCCACTCATGATTACCAAGTAGCGCAGGATAACCTTCAGATTGTTCGGCCAAAACTGGCAAAGTGTGCCCCACAGCTCCTCGATGTCGCGTGGATGGGCGTCGGAGAACTGCAGTGGAAGCAATTAAAGATTAAAGTCCATCCGCTGTGCAGGAGGTGAGCATATATTCATTCCTATACCTTGGCTGTGATGTAGAAGAGATTGTTCAGAATCATTTCCGTTGCCTCCGTTGAACCTGTGCCCTCGCGTCGTCCACGCGTCCCCGAGTCCGGAAAATACTGCCAAGGAATAGAGGGAGCAATGGTTTGAATCCGTCTCCGGTTTATTTCATGCTTCGCTTACCATAATGTAGGAAAGGGGCGTGGCGGGCGGCACACTTGTGGCCACCAGCTCCATGTTTTGCAGCCAGGGAAGGAGGCACTGTAGCAGCAGGGCACGCACATCCTCCCGTGCGCTTTGGAACCGATGGGTGATTTCTGTAATGCGATATAAAGGAAATATTAGTAAATTAAGCTTCTTCTATTTCTAGTATTTATGATTTTGTTTCATGTTATTTATAGAAGAGGATTACAATACTCACCAGAAAATATGGACATGGTAAGTTCCGGTCGTAGCTGCGCCAGTTGTTTCGACAGGAAGCGCTGGGATCGGCAGTAAGCGCTGCTCAGCAAGACGTCCAAGGTGCCCACCTTATCATCCTCTGAAAATGGTGGAAAAGCACAGGGGTTTAATATAATAGTACCAGTACATCACGTAAAATTGTACGCGATGTTCAAGCCCAACCAGGATGCACTGCCTCAGTCTGTGCGGCCATTTAGGAGCTCCTGACTCGAGCACGGCCAAAAGGCAACTACGTAGAAATGCTTAAGTAAAACCTTCGGTAATGGCGTTGGCCATTTTCCAATGCCAGTGAAGCGAGCTTTCTGCGGCATCTGGAAAAGCGCGGCGGCGGCTTGTTATTGTTTTCATTGCCGCCCAGTGACTATGTGACCACAAGAATTCCGCGTCACAATGGCTGTTTAGCGGCCCATTGTCTACCACCTAGTGGCGTTGTTCTCCTCCTGCGAATCCTGCTGGGCTAATCCTTCGACGGAACAAACTACCACTAGTTGCTGCTGCTCCTGCCAACCCTGACCTTGTCACCTGTTGATTTTATGAATGAATCCGCACCGGCGCAGTGGCCGGGCAAAAAGCTTTCACTTGGCGCCTTCCAAGAGGCAATCGAAAGCAGTTTAAAAGGCTGCCACGTCCATTGTCTCGGCTTAGTTGCGCGCTCATTGTCCTGATGGTTGGACGAACTGGCCAAGAAACAACATCTCAATTAGCCACCGAGTTGAACAGAGTGTTTGAAAAGCGGCGGTTAAAGAAACAATTTCCTAATCAAATGCGCCAGCACATGCCCAAAATAAACAAACGAATTTGATTCTGAGAATTAACAATTAATTGGAAAAATATCGAAAAATTTCTTTGGCTTGCGAACAAAAAATGGAAAAAATAAAACTAGACTGCAAATAAATTGTGCTTTGTGAAAAGAAGAACCCTCAGAAGTTTTGAGGAAATCAAGAACTTTTTGTGTGTGGCAAAAGTTTTTTTTTTATGAATTTACCTGGCGATTCTTCTTTGTTTACATCATTACGAACTGTGAAGAAAAAATGTTTGCCCGATAATGAACTTATAACACATAGGCGAACAACAATCGGAAGTTCCAAGTTTGCCGAAGGAAAAGTTTGGCAGAAAGTTTAAAAGTTGAAAATTCTTAATTAAGATTAAGTTAAGCGGAAATAGGAATTCGTGTGAAAGTGCCAAGTGAAATAGTTTGGTTGGCCAATCCAAAAATAATCTTTCACCTCTCAATTGAAATAGACCAACATATGTCCGCGGAAATGCAAATAGTTTTTCCTTTGACCTGCTACAATTAAAACATGAATAAATAGTGCAGTGCAGTAATGAAAGTGTCGCATTGGAATACAAACGGTTCTGCAAATATTTCAAAATAAAACCAATTATAAATGACCATTGCCACTTTAAATATGGATATGGAGTATGAAGCCAACAGTAGTGACTCTACAACTGCGACAACAGAAGCAGATTTCAGTCCAACATTGGGCGAATCAAATGTCACGGAGTTCAATTCAACAGGGATGGACGTGAATGATTCAACTGGCGAGGATGATATGCTAAAGATAGCCTTCTTTATAGGGGATTTCGTACATCAGTTCTATATACCAGTAGTTTGCTGCACGGGCAGCATTGGGAACATCCTCTCCGTGTTTGTCTTCTTCAGGACCAAGTTGAGGAAGTTATCCTCCAGCTTTTACCTGGCCGCTCTCGCCGTCAGCGACACCTGCTTCCTGGCCGGACTTTTCGCACAGTGGCTGAACTTCCTCAACGTGGACATCTACAATCGGAACTACTTCTGCCAGTTCTTCACCTTCTTCAGCTACTTGGCCAGCTTCTGCTCCGTGTGGTTTGTGGTGGCCTTCACCGTGGAGCGCTTCATAGCGGTCATCTATCCACTGAAGCGCCAGACCATGTGCACCGTGCGGCGGGCCAAGATCGTCCTGTTTTGCCTGACCCTCGTGGGTTGTTTGCACTGTCTGCCCTATATAGTGATTGCCAAGCCGGTGTTTATGCCCAAACTGAACACCACCATTTGCGATCTCAACTCGGAATACAAAGTGAGTGTGCTCAAAATGCCATTAGCCATTGTTTTGTGTAATTTATACTGTACGTTGCACGCAGAACTACAAACAAACCAATTTACCCGCAAAGAGTGAAATTTATCTCAATGTGTTGATTTTGTAAACAAATATTTTCGGTTATTACCATAGACCCCCATGGGTACAGAGTATATATGCTCTAAATGCTTTGAGCAATACGAGTATGTGAATGAAGCCCATACAAATGAAAATGTGTTTATTAGGCAATAGTTAAAGTGGCAGCAACTAATAAATTAAGCACATCCCACAAGCCATTTACCATTTAAATGGTATAGCATACACATAGTTCCGCACCATAATGGTATTTGAAAGTTATTTAAAGCAGTCCAGGCCATTTTGGATTCAAAGCGAAAACTTCTCGGGTTGTAGCAATTTCATGCTGTCATGCATCAAAATTCATACTTCATCTAGCGCATTCCTACAGTTCTCTGAATTTTTCATATGGGTTGCCACTAACAACCAGCGACACAACGAAAATTTATCTACCATTTCCCGCACCAATATTTTGCTTTTCAAAAGGTAACCCACACGTGGGAATGCTGGTATTTGTGTTTTTTGTCTACATATGTATTGGAATTTGAATGTGAGTGGCATTGTATGCTTTGCCTTAGCAAAAGGCCAGCTACATTGTTATCAAATATTTAACAGAAAATAAGTTTTATGAATTCGATTTGGGTGAGTGAAAGTTTTCGGAGAAATGATAAGCACAAGTTTAAAAGGTTGATGGATAATCTTAGGAATCTGTCAAAGGCATTTACAGATGTTTTCCGGCCAAACTCTGACTTGACAGCTCTGGAGCTCTCGAATCCTTCGTCACTTTTACTCCACTTGGTATTGACACTTTGTCAATAAGATATGCCGATCATGCGCCAGCCCGCCAGTCGCAGTGCCCACTAATTTGGCCAAAACTAGAGCAATTAGTCAATTAATTGGGTTCCAAAAGACGAATAGCCAACCGCTGTGTGGGTTAACTGGCAAATTAAGCATACATGGGCGAAGCAAAAAAGGCCCCACAAATTGGCTGGGGAACGGGTCAAACAACGGTCCAAAAAGGAAAACAGCGAAAAGCCAAAATTGTCAAAACGGTTAAGCCAGATAGAAACTGCTGAAAAGTCGAAGATATAAGTGCTCTTTTAGGGAGAATAAATTAGACGTATTCATGACCCAGCATTGATTGAAAGCCATTTATAGTTTATAGTTTTCATAAATATACTTTAGTATTCAGCCGCGATAATTGGAAAACTTTCCATTTATTAGTGCTGATCGAATTTCAGCTTATTTGCGAAATCCATAGCTTAACTGCGCTGCAAAAATTTAAGAGAACACTTTTATTTTCGCCCAACAAGTTGGGTAAACTAGGATGACTAAAAAACAAAAGGGCATTTCACCGACCCGTAGACAAAGACAAATATTTTTTCTGGCCCCGCAGCACTAATAGGGCAAAAAAAGGAAACATTGAATCCACCGCCAGGCACAGGAACCGACCAATTGGGTGTGTCTGCTGCGTCTGAAGGATGACAATGCCAATTCTCAAGGCCCAATAAATCTCAAATTTCATTCGCTTTTCAGCTGTTTACCTTTGCCTTGGCGGCAGTCGCTTTTCAGGCCTGAAATTCAATGCTAATTTTTCACAATGCGTGGGCGGACGCAATGCAATGCAAACAGAAGGCCAGGAGATCCAGGATACAAAGTGAGACTCAGTCAGGCAGTCAGCCAGCCAGCCAGCCAGGCGGCCTATTAGCCAAATTGGCCCCAATGAAGCGTTAAGTGTCGCGCCTACGTTTATTTCCCGATTCGATTGGTAGCTTGATGGATGAGTTGAGCAGGCGAAGCTCCCTAGGCTAGAATGGCAATATGCGCTTTCAATCAGCAGAGGTTACACTGCGGAAAACGAGGGCAGCCGTCTTAAAAAGTCCTTTTTTCAAGCGGTTCCTCTCACCGAAATCATCGACATACTCAATGCTTTTCCAACTTGTTGCCAATATTTCAAAGTGTACCCGTGAATTGTAACCAATTTGGTTTGACAACAATTCCGTTTGAGCGATGGGAACCACGACTCCAAAGCCAGTCAACAGATGTCACAAGTCTAGCGGCCAAGGAAATATGCACGAATTCCATTGGCAACCATGTGCTGGGCGCCAAAATGATTTGGCTGTGAGTGGGGCAGCATGGGTGGGCACATGGAAGCTGCGAAGTGCGGTGAACAATATTGCAAAACGGGAACGCTGAAGAAGACCACATAAATTTTGAAACAGACATCGGTTCTAAGCTGTAAATAGACGGTTTGCACTTGGCGGTACGAATGTATAGGGAAAGAAAGAAATCATTGTGTAATAGCCTTTCGGATGCAGAGGCACTCCTCTTTGGAATCGCGACCAGATGCCACTCGGGAAGCTCTGCAAGTTGATTTTTATGGGTATATTCGGGAAGAATGATGAATAGCCAAATTACAAAAGAAGCGCTGCCTAATTTACAGCGTTCACTGGAAATGGTAATCCCAATTAAAATTAGGAAACTGGAAACGCCTATTACTCCTTAAATGGTATTTTATGTAAGCTCTTTTTGATAATAAAATTCGATCCCATACCCAGCAGCCATCAATAAAGATGTCGTCCTTTGATGTGACCAGGCAGCAGATGTGATGCCAACTGGAAATCGACTAAGCTCATGAAAATCTCAATGTGGCAAACTAAGGCCACAGGAAGTGACCAAACATAGAGCACAAATAAAATATTCATGGTATTGAATAGGAAGTGGCCAATGAATGGCCAGAGGCATGGGTAACATTTAGCCCGGATATGGCTTATGCCAATTCGCACTCGAGTTGCAAGACTTCAAATATCTAACATTCTCTTTGATTCGAATTTGAATTAGATTTCCACTACTTTGCAAACATTTTCTTTTTAATCCTTAAAAATTCAACCAAAATGCGTATTATATTCCGTTTATATTAAAATTGAGAAATGTTTTTTCGGTAACTCTAAGTACCCATTTTCCCCAACTCAAATCAATACATGCTCGAATATGGTAAAATTTCGTTTTGAAGGGATAACAACGAAAATGAATTAAATTTTCTTCAAGATTAATTATACTCCCATAACAATTTCGTGTATTAGGAGCCTCAAAGGGCAGACATCGCCATCATCGTCGATTGATTGAAAATTTACGAGCTATTACACTTTGATCCACTTGACACACACCGGCGCCAAAAACAGAACAGAAAAAATTGGGATGCCCTTCCCAAAAAAGCAAATAGAAAAGCAAATAGATTGAATGGTTTGGTCAGGCAGGTCAGCTTTTACGATTATGACGGCCATTCGGGCGACTTTCCAGAGTGTTTTTCAAGGTGTTTACTGGCCAAAAGCCCCGGAACCAAATGGCCAGTCGACAAATAAAATGGCCGATCAATAGATGACCATTTGAACTCCCTTACTAAGCTGGCACAAAATATAAAAAGTACACAATTTATAGAACAATTAAAGTGAGAAACACTGAACCATTTCGGTTCATGTTCCAAGCGTTTTTAGGCCAATGAAGAAAAAAATGAAAATGTAATCAAAACACTACATACCACTTGGGCAAAAGATGTGCGCCGATGGCGGAATATTTAATGTTGAAATTTAATGTTGAAAACCTTTTTGGCGTACAGACTGTATTTTACAGATGAAAAAGATATAGAGACGGCCTGGGCAGCCATTTCGATTTAGTCACATACTGTGACTAACATAATTGCAATACATTTTGATGAGTGCCAACACTTCAAATTATGCAAATTGGATGAGCCGCCAGGAATTACGACAAAGTCCACTGACTGATGATGATGGCATATCTAGAATATTTAAACTTAAATAGCTGCCCGACCAGCTGCTTTGATTAGAGAACTACGGGTGAGCAGTTGGATGGGCCTTAATGGCTGGTAATGCGCTTATGGACTTCCATTTCTGGTTAATTGTGATTGAAACAAATGGAATTGCTTTGGCCAAAAATTAGCCAAGCCAAATGGCCATTCACAACTGTGTTTCGTAGAAATTAATTCGAGAGTTCATGGAACGTTTCAGATTGAACATTTCGGACATGAAAATATGCAGGCAGCCAGGAATTTGCCTGCTCGAAAGCTTTCACCCCAGGGAAAGTGGAAAATAAATGCACAAGACGATGTGAAAATAGTTTAACCCTTTCAAAAGAGAGGCCGGGAAAAGCAGCAGGGCTGAGCAGAAAATGCCGAGATTAAAAAACGGGCCAAAAGGTCAAACTCTGGTTGTTAAGAGCGGAAACTTATCGCCGCAGCTTCAAATAATTCTGTTAAATTTCCCGGCCAGCGAATTATGCAAATTGAAACAAGATCTTCTCGAGGAAATTAGGTTTTAAGTTGCACTGGCGATTTTGCTTAAGCCCAATGGGTATTTCGATTTGAAAACAAACAAACTTTCCACAAGCTCTGTGTGTCACGCAAATGGATTACGAATACCATTTCGTTTTCCAAATTTAATTTATTTTAGTCGATGCAAAAGAGTTCTGTTGACGCTCAGACAAAATCCCAACCAAAACTTTAATTTGTTCGAAATAAGATTAAAGCTACTGGGTGTGGCAAGGCCAAATTACGTACTCGTGGCGTATACTCAATTTAGTGTACGGCTTGCGTATACGCCACGTTGGCCCAGCCACAAAAACCAATCGAATTGCAACCACAGAGGCACGATGATAATAATAATAAAAAAAATAAAAAAAACACATCCCTCTCATTCGCAGGAACAACTGGCCCTCTTCAACTACTGGGACTCCATTGTCGTCTACGCGGTGCCCTTCACCACCATCGCCGTTCTGAACACCTGTACAGGTTGCACGGTGTGGAAGTTTGCCACCGTTCGCCGCACGCTGACCATGCACAAGATGTGAGTAGTGACCACTGGATAATCGCCGTTCGACCCATTGACATAAAAAGCTATGGGGGGATTTTTTGACAAGTCCGTAAAAAAGAGAAAACAAAATGTCATTGCTTCTATTGCTTCTGGAATTGCATTAAAATTTCTACATATGCCTATATTACATTGCCGCAGAAAGGGCTATTTTAAAACGTTGCACGTAATTTAATTTTAGCCGTAAATGCATCTCCACTCTCCTTTGAGAATAAGCTACAAATAGTTTATTGAATTTTGTAGTTACGTAGGAGAGGCTACGTGGACTAAAAATCCGTAATCCTAATCCGTAAAGCTGGCAGCTGTATAAAGTACCTACTCATTTTTGATGGTTATTATATTTATTATTATTATTAGTTTGATTATTTGCTTTAGTGCTCTGAAGAGGCTAACAATGTGCAAAGTTATTTTACGCTCTTGCCTTGTTTTAGAAATTCCTAATGCACTTTTATGTTGTTCTTGCTGTTCAGGAAGCCCCAAACGAACAGCATGCCATCGAACTCGTCGAACTCATCGGGAGGAGCATCTGCAGTGGCCTCGTACCGCCTTTCGGCATCGCTGAAGCGCCAGAAGTCGACAGGAACGCATCCAAGTGGACAGCATATTGTGGCCAACAGGCAGCCGGATGATCAGGAGCAACAGCAGTCGCAGCAGCACCAGCAGCATCAAATAAACAATTGCCAACACCATTGCGAGATTACGCAGAAACCAGGTAAGAGCCCTTCGGATGGCTTTTCATTCGAAAAATGTCAGAGGCTTCACTGTGGAACTCGTCCTGCTGACATTTGCCGGCAAATTGGCTCCGGCTAAAAAGCTAAAACTTTTACTTAAGCCATTTAAGTTGGGTCGGCAAATTGTGAATTTGTTTGAAACCATTTTGCTGGCAACAGGGTTTGACATTAAAAATGACAAAACAAAAGACGTTGAAAGCTGGAGCAGAAATGTATGAAAAACTTTCTGACAGCTGCAGTCTTAGCCAAGTTTGTGCGACACTGACAAATTGTCAAACAATTGGCCAACTATTACGTATAATTTCCAACTAATTACAAAGTCTGCGGAACTGTGAAGATTATCTCAGATTAACTCCTTGCTTCCTATTTACTTTTCATAGCCCGTCGCAAGGTACAAAACTCATCGCAGCTCAAGGTAACCAAAATGCTGCTAATTGTCTCAACGGTTTTTGTCTGCCTCAATTTGCCAAGCTGCCTGCTGCGCATCGAGGCCTATTGGGAGGTAAGTGATGCAAACAGTAATGTTCTTCTCGGCCAATCAGTCTGCTTGAAATATGTATCTCCGCTATTGTATCCTCGCACAAAGATAGGACATATGCATTGTTATGTCGGCACAATGATGGAACACTACTTTGGGCTGACCCAAATAATTTTATTAGCAGCCGTTGGGCAGATCTTAATGTGGTGCGGGACAAGTAAACAAGCCAAGTGTACACCGAAAGCAATTGGTGTGGATGGAAAGGTATTTCAAATATACGTAGTTGCCTGTCCAGCATCAGTATCAGATTTAAATCTGCTGTGCTGGCCAGATCGTCAGTCGAAGGGTATTGCAGGCACACAATCTATGTAGTAATTTTTCGCAGTGGAAGTATGCCTAATGCCCGGCCAAAACAATGCACACCAAGTAGTGTTATAAGTTGGACGTCAGCTGTCTGCTACTAATTATCTGGCCGCAAATGCGAGAGATGGCGTTCAAGCTGGGATCAATTTCTGACCCATGCTCATATCTGAGCTGGCCAGAACAACAGTGGAAATGTTGGCATGACAACTATAAACTATTTTAGCTGCTTGAGAGGATGGGGCCAACTGCTGCTCCCGACTGAAATCCTTTGCCATTTCGCCCACTTAGCTCAACTGTAGTGTTAAATCCAGGAATTGCTTACATCAAAAGGCAAAACATTTTAATGTCCTCGCCAAGTGAGCACAGACTGGTTGGCATGGTGAAAGGCACATAGGTGTTAATTATGGTTTAATTAGTTTGTGCACTTCGGAGGCAAATCATAAAAATAAAATCAGTTCCGTGTCAAAATAAGTACGCCAGGTGATCAGGATCATTCATTCCTATATCATACCCATTAAGGGAAACTGCAAAAATGCTTCCGCAATTCAATTTAAATTCCTGTCATTAAATTAAGCTGACTACTGAAAATGAGATAAACTGTGTAATTTAAGCTCTTTCGAACTGCATAAATATTAATTAAATTCGAGTCTATACACAGGAACTTAAAGGGTGCTTTTCAATAATGTGTGTTTGGCAGAAGTAAATTATTCTTTCGTTGTTAAAATGCTGCTCTATTCGGCCGTAAAAAAATATCAAAGCATTCTGCAAAATGCTGTCATTCTAAATTACGCCAAATTGAATACATGTCGTCAACTGTCACAGCATTGACGTATTTTATTTGTATGCAAAACAAATCGACGGCGCTGAGATACTGCCTCAAAAATATCAGTACCTTGTTTAACGACTTAAATAACTCATACAAAAATCTCCGACCTTATAAGACTTTTAAGCTAACATGTATTCTTCTATTTATAGTATTGAGTTTTTCTCCCCAATTCACATGTCAACTTTAAAATGCCGCAAAATCAATTGATTGAGGCACGAAATTAATTGAGTGGAAAAAAAGGACGGCAGTCTAGAGCTGAATTATTATTCCGACATTTCCTTCGAGATTAAGAGGTCAGGGGTTAGGGGTCAGATCAACAAGCACGTGCGCTTACACATAATAAATGAGATAAATTACTAATTCCAGAAATAATTTAGCCATTAGTGAGTTATGAAAAATGTTGCAACAGTATCGCTATCCCCATTAGAAGCTCACAGGTCAAAGTCGGAAGTCACCGGGGCAACGTACAAGTTAATAATTGGCAAACATATACCGATTGATGCTATTACCATTTATGACATTTTTCCATCATTTCACAGACGGAGTCGGAACGAAACGAGAACTCCACAATTGCTTTGCAATATATTTTTCACGCTTTCTTCATCACCAATTTTGGCATCAATTTCGTGCTTTACTGCGTCAGTGGACAGAATTTCCGGTAAGTAATGCGCCGCAAATTACCCCAAAATGACGCGTGTTTATGTAGCTGGCTTTTATCAGCATTTAAATACATTTATTCCCATTTCCTTCTTTTTTTTTTGCATTTTCACCGAATTCACAGCAAAGCCGTATTGAGTATTTTCCGAAGGGTTTCATCCGCTCAACGGGAGGCAGGAAACACCCAAGTGACAGGTGAGTGGGTGAATTTCTCTGCAATGAAAAGGGATAAGGGCACATATTGCATTCAAATGAGAAAATCTCATATGACAAATGCGATTTTATGTGCTTGAAAAGCTTAAACATTTGATGTGATGTGCAAGGCACACTTAATATTCAGCAACTTTCCTCGCAAGGTTCCTTATGAAATCTCGAGTGAGAGATTAGTTCATGTTCTACTTATACTTAAATCATTTCAGACATACGAGTTTAGTGGGATTTGCATCAAATTATTTCAGACTTAACTGAGATTAAATTTCGAATGAGCGCAATTGGTTTACCAAGAGGCTTACTTTATCCATAAACAATAGTAGACAGTTTCAATTGCATTCAAATCTTTAAGCGAACGATATTAAATTTAATAGAAAACGTTTAAGACAATCATTTGGACGACACACAGGCGGTTGGGAGAGAAAATTGCACAGAAAATGCCCCCCAGTCAGCAGAAAGAAGAAGTTTAGGATTACAAGTTTGCAACTTCAATGGTTCCTTCCTGCATGAAAAAATACAACACACAGTACTTTGCTGGTTCAAACTTTACTTCAGTGCATACTTAACGCTGGCTAAATCCTGTACAAAACGCCAACAAGACTGTGGTTTTCCACAGCTGCGCTTGACATCTGCACTTGGGGAAAAAAGGTTTTAAAGCGTGTTGCACTTAAAACTTTAATGCAATTTAAGTTGCTCCGAATAATAATAGTAACATGTATTTGCATTGAAGGTGGTGCAGGAGGTCAGTGGCTTTCTAGAGATGAGATTTGCTGGGTAGAAAATGTGTGACAACCAAACCAGTTGCAGAAACATTTGTTACACCCGGATTTTCTGGCTGATTCTGCTGGCTTGACAAAAACCCAGATAAACTCAGCTCAGCCAGACATAAAACGGATGTCTGTAGCAGAGATTCGTATGCATTAAAGTGGCCACTACACTTTCTCCTTGGGAATTAAATTTTCCCTCTGCCCGAAAGAGCTGAACACTAATTGTTGTTTTGTTGCTGTTGTTCCTCCTCCAGAGACGTGGAAAACTTTTCCTATAAACGCTCTAGCAGTGGGGCCAAACAAATCAGTACTAACGCCATGCCTTCTGTTAATGAAAAGCGGTAAGCAATGTCAACGGGGAAAACCAAAAAGGAAAAGAGGTCAAGAAAGGGCGGATGTAGGCACTAATCAGCAGGGGAAAAGGATTATGGAGTAGTATAGTAGACAGTAATTTGCCTTTCATTATAACAGAATTTAAGTTAGCTAACGGCTACGCTAAGATACTCGGCTTAGAATACTCAGTTAAAACATCAACACTATTGCTAATGAGAAGAGTTAAGTCGAGTTTTCCCTTGGGTCACTTTCATAATTTGGTCGATAGAGAAGAACTTCAAGTTATGAATGCAAATCGCATTTTAATTGCTCACTTTTTACGAATGCAATTTTGCTGACATGTAACTGGGGCAAGTGATGTTCCTTTCCGCTTGAGGAAACTTTCTCATGCATTCAATAATCACTTTAACGTATGCCTCCTGGTCAGCAAAATGGAAGCCATTATGCAATAAATTTATGTAAAACAAGAATGCTACAGTCGAGTTCCCGGCTATCAGATACCCATTACTCAGTTAGTGGGAGTGCAAACGAGAAATTTCAACTTTTTCTGGAATATCGGTAGAAATTGTGGAATTTGTGGAATTCTAAATTTGAATGTAGATCTTTAGAGAATTTCGCCTGAAACATTTAGAGGTATGCCACTTCAAAATTCGATTAAGATAAGTTGAGTTATGGAGCTTAAAACATCTGAATGGGGACATTTTTTAATTTTTTTGAATTTCTACAACAATATACATCAGAAAAATTACAAAAAAATATTTCAAAAAAATGTTACATACTTTTTAACGAATCTAGTATACCCTTTTACTCTACGAGTAACGGGTATAAATATAGTTGACGCCCAACTTAGCCACAGACTGAAGTTTAATCAAATTTTCTTTGTTTGCAAATAGTTCATGAATATTATTTAACAATGGATATTGATTTTAAAAGACAATAACTTGGCCAACAATTTAGTTTGTCCTTATAATTTCAATATAAATTTAAATTCATATTTATATGACTTGTTTTGAGTTTTCCTCCGGGTGCTTGAGCAGGCAGCAAGTATTCACCCCCCTTTTCGATTCAACCATCATTCATTCACCAGTCGTAAAATTTAGTTTTACGATTTTCCAGCTCACCTTTGGGGGCATTCATTTTTAATATATTACTAAAGCCAAGACCATTTTTAAAGAGCTATTTTTCTTAAGCTCTCTTGGTTGGTATATACGGAAAGCCATAAAAATGTCAAGGTGCATATTTATTTTAAAGTATGGTTTTCCACTTGTTAATTAGAAATGTTAGCCAATTCGTTAAAAGCGGGAAATAGAATAAACGGAAAACGTAAGTCAGTGTCAGGACCTGTGCCACACGAATCCTGTCAACACGGCAATGAAAAAAGGACCTTGGTTAAAGTAAAATTCATATGTAAATGAAAATGAAAACTGGGGAAAAGTAAAAGGCAGAAGGAAAGCGACGGAAAGGATTCTATGGAGGAAGCTGCGAGCTAAAAAGGATCAAACAGGATAAGAAAGTGTGTTCCATGCAAATATTTACACCATGCAAATACACGAGGTGTCCTTGTTTTGTTTGCGTGTCCAGTGGGTAAAAGAGGGGAAGAATTTTCCCATTTGCAACAATTGAATTTACATTTAACAGTGTCGCAATGAAAGCGATGTACCAAAATGATTATTATTTGCTGTTTGTACTCCCCAACTTTCTACATTTCCGGGTTTCTTAATGTAAAAATGTTTCCACGTGACACATTACATAAAGTTGTAAGCTGTAAGTTATCATGGATTTCTTAACAAGACAATATCTTGTAGATGACAGTTGGCAAAAAGGGATTTAATGTTTCAGAGCAGATTTTCATCATGGCAAAAAATAAAGTCAAACACTAAATCTCAATGCAATCTGATTGATCGACTTACAGTTTCAAATCACTCCCGCTGAAATCGAAATCCGGTCAAAATAATCCGAAAATCAAACAGCGGAAATTGATGAGAAAAGCTAAGCGTTCGCACATTAAATTGCCACCCATCTATTTGCGCCTAATCATGACCTGCGGCAAGTGGTATAGTTAAGTTTCGCAAATACATTTTCCTTTTTCGCGCAGCATTACTCATACGCAACGTGGTACGTGTGCTGAATGCAATGGCAATTGCCGCTCCTCTCGGGATCTGCCCTCATTTAGGTGTTGCTTATTGGCCATAAATTACCAACCTATCCAGTCACGCATCCTCCTTAGGATGCCTCGTTGTGGAAGCCAATCCCAGTGCCCTCCAGTCTTTTCCTTGGCGAGTCAATCAGTGCTTTTCTCTGGAGAAGACAGTGCCACTTGCCGCCTCACGCTACTCAGGCATAGAAAAAGACAACTAGACATGTTTTACCTTCGTTGGTTTAAGGTGATTTAGATTGCAAGCCTTAAAGGTGTTGAACACACTTCCATTTTAAGTTCTTCAGAAAAAGTTAATATTCTGAGAATCATTTAACAAGCTGAAAAAACAGTAGGCAATAACCAATGCTTGGCCTATCGAGTTAGCAAATATTGTGTAAGAAGACTCATTTATAATGATTTATCTCAGATGGAGCATGAGTTTGGCCAGGAAATGACAGTTGTGGGTTGAATAGTAAGTGGATAGCCGAATGTAGCCTTGAACTCCTCGACATGTTAGCATTCTTACAAGTTTCACCGAGCCAGACTATTCATTGACTCAACGACACGACAAATTCACTTTAAATTTCTATGGCTTTCGTTTGAAAAAGATGGCGGAATGACTTATATCATATTCTGTGGGTGGCTCTATAATTTATTTAATAACTTACTAGAAACGGCACGAGCATAAAAAAGTAGTCACCGAAAAGCTGAGGGCTTCAAGAACAGTCGAAACACGTCATCATTAATCTTGCCAGGCCGCAAATATCCACACACATGGCAATCAACAAAAATTTGGAGGCAGAACGCCAAGGAGGGTGGAAATATACTCAAGAAGCTCAAGTGGCAGATTGCTATTTATACATCTTGTTTGTTGACTTTCGCGGAGAGACATTTTAAATAATTAAAGGGAAACAAAGTGTGTCAAATGCCATGCGTATGAATAAAAGTTTAATTTTGAGGTGAATTGAAATGAGCCGCAGATATACAATTGCTGCCAAAGGATAAACCATAATTAGCCAGAGCAAAGATCATAAAGGAAGAAATGCAAACAAGACAGACAAACATGGTTCTCATTGAAAAGTGTTCTCCGTTTATTGGCACTTTTTCGGGCGTTGTTTGCTTTTGAACACGAATGATTGATTAGCACAGATTGCCATGAAACACAATATGATGGGAACAAAAACGGACGAAAACAAGTGAATTGAATATGGGTCTACGCTCTCTTAAAACAGCGAACAAAAACCGAATGAACACTTCTGATTTGTTGATTTTTCAGGGGTCTTAAACACGATTTGTTCAGTGTTCGCTTGGTTCCCACGTTTGGTTCTTCTGGTATACCAATAAATTCTGTCCCAAAATAAGCCAAAAAGCCAGTTAAGCAGCCATTGAAAACCCCAAAGTACCAAATTTATAGTCTACTTTTGTGCGCCCTGCGGGGATTTTCATACGACTGACAACCTAAATCCGAAGTCCAGGTGAATGACAGTATGAATACAGGTCGCCCAAAATGACACCAGAAAACATGAGCAAATAAGGATTTAGCCTAGCAATTAATGCCATAATGATTTATCAGGATTCAATAATATTTATTTTTGACTTTGAAATGTTTATTTCCGGCAGTTAATCCCTAAGAGCATTAAAGTCTTTTGTGTTGACTTTGTTGGCAAACAAACCTTTTTGTATAGTATTTAAGTAAAACTGACCAACCTAAAAGTAATAGATAATGAAAATGCTATAGAAGGGCGAAAGCAATTTATGGATACTAATTGCACTCTTTACCCTTTTTGTGGTGTTAGTTTCGCAAAAGAATCCTTCCAGCAGCCCGGACAATTTATGCATATTTCTGGAATTTTTAATTATAACACCAAGCTAGCGCAAATTAAATATTCAAATTCAATCTAGAAACTAACGTAACAAACTGCCGATTTTGAAAGAGACTTAATAAGGGTTTTTACCACATTTACCATGCACTCGTAGTTTCCGAACCCATGTTAACCAAACTGTTTGGCTTTTCTTTTCAGTTTCTGAATATTGTCGCAATACTGGCACTTCAACTCGACGTCGGATGATGACGCAACATTGTTGGAATGAAATGCACGAGTTGCATCCACTCAAGTGAATGGCTGAGCTTACGGGAAAATTAACTTACAGGCTGCAAAGGCCAATGAATGATGTGAAATTGCGAAGTACGCCGCGGGTTGAGCCGGAATTTCGTTTTTAATTAGATTTCAGCAAACATAATATGAATAGGAGCACAAAGAAAGTAAAATTTACTTTACGAAATGGGACGAATACAAGCGAAACCTTTGTTCGTGATGTTTGTCAAGGCCAAGCGAAATCAAACAAAAATTAAAAAATTAAGAATGAACCGCAAGCGTCGACTTCATTTATTTAAGTGTTTAACTAACCGTATAGTAATAGACTAATTAATTTTTGTTTTGCTTTCAAAAGTGTACGCATATTTAAGCAGCTATTATACAAGCCCCAAAATCGAATTCAAATCCGCACGCAAAACTTAATTGAAACCTAACCACAGAAACACAATTTGAAAACGCCAATCGTATTACCCAATAGATTAGATTAATAAAAATGTATTCCTGTCTAACCAACCAAAAGCGAAAATGTATTCATGTAATAAATGTTAATTTCGTTAAATGAAAATTCGGCAATAGAGGCTTTTGATTGGATTGAATGGTCCATTTTAGCGTAACAATTTCAGATGACTTAAAATTATTTGGATCAACTTTAAAGAGCGGACAACTACAAGGACTTTGTTGTAGAATTTGGCAGCTTAAAGCAACTGCATGTGGGCAATCCTGAGCTGAGGCAATTTCAGTTACGGATGCTGACCAAATGCCATGGATTTATTATTATATTTTTAACATTACACGACTAAGCTTGTATTGCAGCATCCTGGACAAAAGGCAACCCAAAGTTCATCAGCTTAGTGCAGAGGCAGAAAAAAGGTCAAAGACTGCTTTCACGTGGGCAGACAGTGTTTTTCAGTCAACATCTTAAAGTCCTTCAACAACGAACTTTCAAAAGCAAAAAGCAATTGAAATTGGGCTAATTATAAATCTAGTGGAGTAGCGGCCTTATGAAATCCTTCCAAGAAGTAAAAAACAATGGTGGAGGCGCAATTTTTTATGGAGGAGTATCTACGGAGATTAGCCATAAGCATTTAGGATAAAGGAAAAATACGCAGGAATGGAAAAGTCCAATGTTCCATCGTTAAATGTAAACAAACAACAGAATCAGAAGACATCGAATACGCGAGCTATTTACGCATACAAAGCTTGTTAAATCTTCTTATGTAATGCAATAAAAATTCTACAGGCACTCTCGAGGTAAAATAATAACAGCACGGTAAGCACATATATATAACATTAAAATGCAAAATTCAAGCACCAACAAACAAGGAGAATAAACACCACTTGCCACACGGCGAAACATAACGAATAAAACTGGTCTACCCTCGAAGGAATTGTACTGAAAGGTTAGAGCCCTAACTTTACATTGAAAGTTTGAGTTGGTTTTCGTCATTCCATAATAAGCTTAGCCTCTGGGAAACAGTGAAAACTGTATGATGAAATATTTACATATTTGCAACCAAACAATTTTGATTTTTAAGAAATTGAAGACGCGCAAGTAACACATAACTAATGCATTCGTCAGCCAGTCAAAAATTATTATCAAAATAAAATTTAAGGAGTTTGTCCATAGCTTAAATTCAGATTATGTATTCTAGCTCAGAACAAGTGTGATATGAAATTGAATTGCAGCCTGGAGACTCCACCATGCCACTAAAAAGTTCTCCTTGTCACTTAATTTTCATTTTATTGCCATTAGCCCGCTTTACTTGTCGCTTTAGTAGGGAAATCTCATACCTTTTTCGCTGTCACTGTGCAAAGTGCCCACCACGCTGCCAAAGAATCGCTTGTCCAGGATCTGCAGCAGTTGCAACGCCGTGGCATGCACCTCCACTCGAGGACAGCCCGTCATCAGGAGGGTCACGGTTATCACGGATGTGTAATGGTCGCACGGGTATTCCCTGTAATTAGAGTGCAAAGAAAGGCGAGGGCTTTAATACGGCTTACAAAGTAACCTAATGAGGTTGTTGGCTTGTGGTTATGCGGTTCTCTGCTCCACACAATGCCGGAATTGTTCAGCTCAGCACTCACGCTGCCAGAAATCAACAGTTGTTGCTCCACCTGCAACAGCACCAGGCACCAGGCACCAGACACCAGGCACCAGTACCTGGTAACCGACCAGAAAAGCCATCACCCCATCCAAAATCCCGACAGATCCATTAAAATGTCGTAGCCCACTTTTAAACTCGCTTGTTTGCACACACATGCACCCACCCATACGCAAATTTTTAGCCCCCGGACTGAGCTGAGTGTGGAATAACACCTTCGGACCAGAGGGAGATACACTTTCGCCGAACCCCACCCGTCCAACCCAGTTCGCTTCTGCACTGGGTTCTGAATTGAATAATTTACGCAAATCGATTTTCGCTTTGCATCCCCACAAACACAAGACACAAGGCCTGGGCGCTACAAAGTATGCTGTGGTTTAAGTTCGGCTTGAAAGAAAAAAGGAAGTGCACATCTTTTATATATGGTCTAGGGCTTTGTATGGCCATAAAGATCACAGTTCAAGGACAAATGGCTAGCTATTGAAATAATGCGAATTCCAAAACACAAATTGCCTGCTGTAGTCACGCGAATCCCAAGCCCAAAATCGTTTAGATACTATCAATCATTCGTTGGGCAAGCTCTTTCGATTGCTTCAACGCCTTTAAATTGGCAGAGAAATTTAAAGAATTTATCACACCGCCCATTAAAACTAAAATGGTTTTCGCTTCGGTGTGCCAACAGCATGCCAACTGCCACAAAAAATCTGGACAGGCGGAAAATAAAGTCGAGAATGCCACGCGCTGGCCAGATGCTGCATGTGCCTGAACCACACTAAAACAAACAGGTAGACCTAATAGCAGTGGGTTTCGACCGCGAACTACCCTATATCTGTACTTATGCCCTGCGAAATAATGTTATACATGTCCCAACAGAAATAAGTGTGTCTAATTATTTAAATGCGCGGTATAAAATAAATCTTAAAACAGAGCAAGTCACTCTAATTAAAGGCCACATCAAGTGGAAGACGGCCGAATCTTGAATCATGACTTGACTTCATCAAATGTCCGCGATTACAGGGTATGTACAGCAGAGTACCAGCTGAAACGCAACTGCAATAAGACGCTGTCCAGCCGACAAATATCTTTGCCGCGCTTGTTCATTTGAAGTGGTCGAGATGCTTCTGCTCTGGTTCTATCCTTTGGTTTTGGGGGAACCGCACATCACACACCCCCACCAGGATAAACCACAATCTGGCGTACTCTCGTTACTATGTAAAACCGCCTCCAGTGTCGGCGACATCAGACATCAGCACATTTCGGCAAATTGCGGATGAAAAGTTTAAGCTGCGGTTAGACAGGCGGTTGTTTTTAGAATAGGTAATTAGTTTCTATTAAAACCGAGCAAACAAACTCAAATTATGTTGCGACATGTGTGCGTTTTTTACAATTTTCAGAGACCATACATATTTAATATCTGTCTGCCGTTTAATACGATTTAATAATGGCAATGACCTCAAAAGCTGTATTGCTCCGAGCCATGTTTATTTACCAAAAGTTTAATAAAGCCGAAATTAAATAAAATGTATGTGTATTTGATGCATTCTTTTCTGCTCCAAATATTCGTTAGTTTGGGGAGAATTCCTTTAAATTGTTGTATCAAAAACCTATAAAGGAGATCGCTTCCGACACATTTGTCCGCCCACTGCAGCTGCATTAAGTGCAATGGGCCATGCATGCTATGCTTCATGGCCTCAACTGTTTATCTAGCGATGTGTACAGGAAGCGCCACAGTTCGCTGCCATAATGGCCAAACCAAAATAATATATATATAAAGAAACAACTGGTTGAGGAAATAAAAAAAAAATTGTCCTGAACAAATAGGCTGTCATCCACTCATGTGTGCGCGTAAATTTAAAGAGTTGCCATTGTTGGCAGACACGTGAAATGCTACTTAAGAGTGCCGGGTAAATCGGTGTTCAAGTCCTTCAAGCCCCAATCCCCACCTGCATATATGGCATGGAGGCGATTACGGCGGAAAGTGAGGTGGGCGGAGAGTACTTGGCTGTCGAACAAGTTAAAACAAATTAAAGGGCACAACGTAAGGCGATTACGCAGCAAGCGACACCAGTGACCATGTTTAAATTGCCATTTCGCTTCACTTACTTGGCGCTAAAGATCGAGGCCAGGGCCAGGAAACAGGCATCTGCCTCACGTGGGGTCGAAGTGTAGCACCGGTCTATGACCCATTCCAATAGTTGTCCGATATCCGGATTGGACTCCAGCAACAGCACCACCGTATCTCTCGCCAGCTGGTAAATCTGTGTGAAAGTGAACCCAGTGTTAATTGTGGTTCAAGTGGAGGGACAAGTGGGTGGCGCTTTACCTTTTCGTTTTTGGAGGTCAGCAGCATATCCAGCCACTTGTAAATGATGCTATCGTCTTGTAGGTAAGATGGATTGAAGATTTGACCGCAACAGAGCAGGGCGGACATGGCCTAAAGAGGGAGAGGTGAGTCATTTAGAGCGTTACTCCTTAATGGCTTTAAAATCTGCAATATATGTAAAACACGGCGTCATTTGTTATTTAACTTGCCTGCAGGGCGCTAAACTGCAGCTTCTCCTCCTCGAGCGTATGGTCGCTCTGCATGGTGTACCCAAGTGGCTTGGAGAAGCTGCCGCACCAGGCGGCAAACAAATTGAATAGATTACGCTTCAGGACCCGGGAAAGCAGCGTGGCACAGGACTCGACTGAGAGAAATGAACAGGCAGTCAGTTGTAGCAGATGTATAGCAGAGCTTTGAGGTCTTACGTGAGAAGTTCTTAATCATCTTGCGTATGAAATTGCAAAAGTGGGCCTTCACCTCGCGAATACTGAGATTATCCTTGTCCGTCTCAGACGTTAGATAGCCCATTGCGCCCGAGATATACAGCACAAAGGTGGGATGCAGCGACATCGTGTCGCGTTCCAGCACACAGGTGCTGCAAATGGATGATGTTACGTCGTGAC